GTAGCTACCTTTATTGCAACTTCCTTACACTTTTACATATAGAGGCTAATAATTATTTTAACGAATGTAGTCTACTTTTTTTTTGAGTACCTTTCGCTTAATGCGTACATCTTATATATGGCTTTAACCCAATTCGGTTAGTTCCAGCAGGCTCATTTTCCCCTCAAAAAGTAGACTGCGTTTTAAGTTTACCGCTTGACTTAGTTTTTGGCTTACGGGACTTTTGCGTGCCGCTGGAACTACAGTAAGTTCTTGTTTACTTTAGATTTCTCTTTAAGAATCCGCTCACATCCGGGTTTGGAGCTTCCAGCTCACTTCTCAACTGAGTATCTTTTTGTCTTTTTACTTTGCTCGAGCTTTGTTCTGGCTACTCAAGACTTCGCAGGACGGATACTTTCGATCACACTTTCCTCTGCTGCTCACGCTCGCGGTACTAATTTCCTAATTATATGAAGTACACCTGTAACCATTACGGAGAGCTAGTGGTTTTAATAAGTTTCTTGGTATTGTGTAACCCCCATGTCAAGGATGGAAAGTGTGAAGTCGTAAAGCCTCTCTCTACTGACAACAAAAATTTTAGCAGTTTACCAAAGGTGCAAGTAAGTCAAGCTTCAACTATAAATAAGTGAAGTTGTAGCGCCAGAAAAAAAGTATGGCGACAATCTAAAGGAGGTATTGCTGGCTTTTAATGTCAACAAATTTAGCTCGTTTAACGGTTTCTCAAGACTAGCAGTTGTCAGTAAAGCATCAGGTAAAGGATCGTAAAAACTAGGTCATACAGCTGGTCCTCTGGCGGCGCTCGTCTGAGTTATAGGTGCAATAGTGGCCTATAATGTCGCCATTGCAACGGCAAAACAAGGCAAACCAAGGCACGGAGGGTAAACCTGTGACCTTCGGAGGAAACCGCACAATAGATATCAAACACTTAGCCCTTCGCGTCGAGGAACTGCACTGCGGCGCTTAATAAGAAGGCAAGCAAAACAAGCGATAGAAAAATAAAAAGAAAGATAACAACGGAGGAAAAACTTGTGAGTATTTACTACTGCTAATCTCTCTATATATACTTCAGATAAACAAAAAATGACAATGCAAAATTTCAAGTTTAACCAATATCAAGAGGTCTTTACGTTTATGTTTCAAATAGCATGTAGATTGAGTAAATTTTAAACATTAAAATAAAACTGGTTGGTGAGAGGTTAGCTTATTAAAATTTTTATACTGGTACCGAGCGGCGGAGTTAGTGATAAAGTGGTGTTGCAGCATTAAAATTTCTTTTGCAGTTGCTCTCCCAATAATTACCTCGTACAAACATAACTTTGAGATCAGGAGACGTTGCAATCTTTAAACTTTTCGCTATTTATATTAGCGCACTTTTTAAACTATACAACATTAGTTATATTTATTATTATTAAATCCTCGTTTAAGGTGGTTTTTATATTTCAGAGGGTTGGAAAGGCTCTTTTTATATTGTAAATATTAATTATATAACATTTTTATTTTTATTAGTAAGTATATATAAATTTACATTAAACTTTCTAATTTACTTCTATTTAAAATATTTATATGTATATACTAAATTTTATATTAAGTAATTTTATAATTTTAATATTTTTATTATTTTATTACTATTGTTTTATTTGTAGTTAAGTTTTATAAGGTAACTTTTAATAGAACAAAAACCTTTCGTTATGGTACTCATACCAACGAATTGAACTTTAGCTTTAATTTACTTTTCAACTTCTTCTGAACTTCTGACCGAGGGCTAACGATCACCATAAAAAGTCATCTGTAAATAGTTTCTTCCCTATATAAATGCCATCGGTGCCTAAGATTTTTGGCTTTATAAAATTTACTAAATTTGAAGTTTTATTTAAGGAGACATCTAATAAAATAATTTTGTACTTTCAACAATTTAGAATGTTTCGCCCCGCTTATAAAAAGTGGTAAACTTTTATTAAAAGGAAGGCCCATCTATTTGCTATAGAGTGAAAAGTTTATATAGGTTGAGTAGTAATGATATACCTTTATAAGAAATATAATAATATATAAAAGAAAGTAATTGTTATTGATGAAGAAATATAGGCCTATCCACAAGTTTGGTAATAGCGGAAAATATCAAAAAGTTTTTTTTAATTCCTGAGAAAAATAACAGCATATGAAAGCTAAATGTAGTAAAGTTTTGTCCATGACTTAAAAAAAGTCAACCAATTTTAATTTAACTTTTTTTTTATGCAAATAATAAACCTGTAAAACTTTTTTAAGAATTGTATAGAGGATAGATTAAGTCTATTTATACACAACTGCTATATCTAAAATTTATAGTAGCATATACAAAGGGGTTCATGAACTTTCATACAACGGTAATACTAATAAAATTATGCAAAAAATTAAGGATATTATACTTTGTAGTATTAATATGAACTGTCGAGTTAACATTTTTGCTTAAGAATAATGGTTAAGATATAACCAGCTCAACTTCAATTTGTACTACCAATTGTACAAGATTTGTTTTTATAGTTTAAACTATAGAGACTATCTATTTTTTTTATAAAGGTATTCTTCTAGTACTTTGGCCAGCAAATATTAATGAACTATTTGTAGTTTACAATTTATAATAATAAATTCTCCTTTAGCTTGTACTGCTAACTATAAAGAAATTAATATAATATTTTTGTATAATACATAATTCTTATAAATTTGGCTAGCAGATATTACTTGACTAATCGTTGCTTAGGACAAAGATAGTTAAAAATTTAGTAGTATTTGGTTTAAAATATATTGAAAGGGATTTTTATTTGGTAAAAGTGGTTCTTTAACTGTTTAGCAAGCAAATTTAATATACTCGAACTGTATGATATATTGGTACATAATAAATAATCCCTTATTAATCGGCTCTTAACTAATATTTGCTTTACTTGAAAAAATTCTACCTTACGGTGATTCTTTAATAAAATAGTTGGAAAATTTTATTTACCCAAACTGTATGACGTATTGGTATATAATAATGATAAATAACTAACAAATATTACTTAACTAATATACGCTTTATATATAAAAATTCTACTTAAGCTTACATTTACTCTAAGTTGGGACAAAGGAGGCGTTTCTGATAGTATAAAGTCCTCACGTGTTTGACGTTTACTTGTATTCATATAAAATCACTTTTCCAGTCTAAAGATGGTTTATAGTGGAATGGATGGCGAAAGTAAATATAGTTCGTTGGAACATTTATCTCATGTACTTCTTGATGAGAATTATCCTCTTTATTTAAGGCAAGTTATATTAATTAGGTTATAGTAAACTCATTTTTTTTTTTTAAATTTTTATAGACTTCTTCACTTAAATAATTTTTTACTGGTTTAAAAGTATATTATAAAAATTTAGTTTGCACATAAAATTGTATTTATTACCAATTAGTCTTTAACCTTTTTATAAAAATTTCTATTTAAATATAATAATTGTCTTCTAGTATAATTTGTTATGTTTATTATAATTTATAATTTACTTAAACTTAGGTTTATTTAAAACAAATTTTTATTTCGTTAAGTATTATTATTTACCTATTTATTAATGCTTCGTTTTATTATTGTTTCTTCATTATCTAAGTTAAGAGTAAAATTATTATAAGTATAAGTTATAACAAGTTTAATTTTTTTCATTTTATTATAACTATTATCAATATTGGATGATTTTATATTTATAATTTTTGACTTTTTTTAGGAATTTTGTTACGTAACTAATTACGTCTTTCAGTATAATTTTTTATAATAATTAATAATAATTTATATTGTGTAATTGTTATTTTCATCTTTATTGTTTAGTATAAATTTTTTTTTTTAATTTTTATTAATATTTGGTTTATTTAATAAATATAATTCTCTAATTTTTTTTAAAATTTAGCTTTGAAATTTTTCTAGTTGTGCCTTTAAGTATAAATTTATTTTGTGATAATGCTTTCTCTTTTAGATTTAAAAAACTTTAATTTTTATTTATAATTATTTTTACCTTTTATTTTATACCTTAAAGTTTAAATAACTTTTTTTTTTGTAAAAATTTGTTATTTTGATAATCGTGCCTTTAAGTATTAATTTGTTTTTTTCTTGTTTCATGATTTACAATTAATATATTTTTCTTTTAAATTTTTAGTCAACTTTAAAAAAGTGAATTTTTTTTTAGATTTTTATTATAACTTACTATTTCCTATTACTTTTCACCTTCTATTTACATTTTTAGTTATAATCTAAAACATAATTATAACTTTTATCAATATTAGTTGGTTTGATAACATAATTTATCAAGTATAAATTTGTTTTATTAATTATCAGTAATTTTTTCTAATTATTTTATTATAATTGTTTAGCTTCAGTATTAACACGTCTATTGAAGATTTTATTAAGAAAATGTTAATTAGTGTTCATTTTATTATTATTAATTATGATTGGAAATTTTATAATTACTTTAATTTTTTTATTAAATGTTTTTTGTTCAATTTTGTTAGTAATAAATTAGATTCTTTTAATTAAATATTTGATATATACGATTTTCTAAAAAAATAAATTTAATTTTAAAATTTGAATTGAAATTTTATACTTAATTCAACTGTGATTTTTTAAATATTTCATATTTTTTATTTTTTTTTTACAAATTTGTATTTCTTTTGAAAAAAAAGAATTTATACATTTGATTTATTTTGATCTGGTTTTTAGATTTGAAATTTTATAATTACTTTTTCTTTAAATAAATATTAATGTTGTAATTCGCTTTAAATAAGTTTTATTTTATTTATTTATTTAATATTATTTTTGATATAACGGAAATGTTTTTTATATTTTTCTATTGTTTCTTATAATATACTCTACGGATAAATCCAAGGTTTCGCGCTTTGTTTACTTTGAAAAATATAAAAACTGAGGAGGCCGTTAAGTGTATATCAAAAGGAAAATAATTTTTTTTTTTTGGTTGAAAACAATTACGAAATAATTTTTTTTATTAGGCTTTTCAGATTCTTCAGAATTATTTAAACACGAAATTGCTTATTGTTTGGGGCAAATGCAGCATTTTTCCGCCATTCCGACCCTCATTAAGATTATTGAAGATTGCACTCAAGAAGCTGTTGTCCGACATGAAGTTGTTGATTTTTTTTAGAGATTTTAAAGATTTTAGAGATTTCATGTAGACTTTTAAGGGATATTTTATAAAAATTTTAAACCTTTAATTCATTTTCTTAGAGTTTTTATTTATGAAGCTGTGCTTAGACATGATGTAGATAATAATTTATTTTATTTTTATTTTTAGTTTTAAGGATTTTATTTAAACTTTAAAGAGATTTTTTATCTTTTTTAAAAGTTATTAAAGTTTTATTTAAACTTTAAATATATTTTTATTTATAAATTTCTAGATGTCATTAAATTTTAGAGAATTACTAATCTTTTTAATTTTTTTTTAATTACTTAAATTTTTAGAGATTAATTGATTTTATTATATAAAATATAAATCTTAACTGGATTTTTAAGATTATAATCACGAGGCTGTTGTAAATCTATTTGGGAATTTACTTAAAATTAACAAAATTTTTTAGACTATACTGAAGTTTTTGAGATTTACTAAATTTTTTTTTTATTTTTGAGTGTTTTTTTATAAAATTTATGATTTTAATAAATTTTGTTTAACAAAAAAAAATATATTTTAAGGAAAATTATTGTTGGGCGCGAAATATATAAAGCACCCCTAGAGATTTAATACTTTTTTTAAAAAAAAGTTTGTAAGATTTTATTTAATTATTAATATAATACTTATTTTTATTTTTCTCAAAAAGTTTAAAAGATTGTAACTGGATTTTTTAGAGATTAAAATGTAAAGAAAAATAAACTTTGATACTAATGAAGAGGCTGTTTTCAGACGGGAATTATATATTTGTTTATAGAGATTTACTGATCTTTTTACTAAGAAATTTTAGATTCCAATTTTCTCTTTTATAGGTTTGCTATATTTTTTATTTTAAAATTTTGAAGACTTTATTTAATAATTTAGAAATTTACTAATCAAATTTTTTTAAATTTGTTTAAGTTTTCTTAGTTTTACTAAATCTAATAAACTTTCTTTTTTTAAGAATTTTTAAATCTTTTAGAGATTTACTAAAGTTTATAATTTTTTTTCTTAATTTTATTATTTAAAGGCAGCCGAGGCGCTCGCTGCATTTCGCGATCCGAAATTTATAGAGGTTTTAAGAAGATTTACGAGTAGCGAATGCGTGGAATTGGCGGAAACTTGCAAGATTGCAGTCGGTATGAAATTTAATCATTTTGAATTATTTAGTTGTGATTTTTTTTTAAAAAAATTTTACTAAACTTTCAAATTTTTGTATTTTCTTTAAAATTTATTATTTAAATTTTAATTTTTTTTTTTATCTAATCTAATTTCTGCCAATTTTTCTAATAAAAAACTATTTTAGATTATTTAAAATGGATTTCGGATTTACAAAGCGACCAAGAAAAGTCAAGTGTGAGTGTCTTTGGGACGCTCGATCCCGCTCCTCCTCTTGATAATAAAATTGATAATGCTGCCGGTCTTGATGAGGTTGTTATTTTTTTTTTTAGTATTAATGTTTTATATAGTAGTAATGAAAATATTAACACTTTGATAATAAAAAGTTAGAAAATTGGAAATCATAATTTTCTAACGAACTTGAGGTCATTGTTTATTTATATTTTTAAATTTTTTTGAAGATTTATATTTTTTTTGAAGTGAAAATGAGGATATGATGCTATTTATTATGAAAAGTAGTAATAAATATACTAGTACTAACGTACAATTAAAAAGTTAGTAATTATGAAAAGTAGTAATAAATATAATAATAATACTACATAAAGTATAAGTATAAAGTATTTATAGTTTTGGTGACTTTGAACTTTTGTGCAGTGTATTATTTATATTGTTTATTTTTGTCTTTATTATATAAAGTTTACATGTATATATAAAATATTTATATGTAATATTGATAACATGATAACAATAGTAATAATAGTTAATAAATAGTAATATAAATAAAAAAAACAATAATATTGACCAATCAACTATTCAGATTGCTCGTATTTTCATGGATACCAACCAACCGCTGTTTAGCCGCTACCGAGCGATGTTTTCTTTAAGGAATATCGGCACTCGTGAAGCTGTTGAGGTTCTTATTGAGGGTTTCAAAGATTCCAGCGCCTTATTTAAACATGAGATTGGTATTAATAATGAACAAATAAAACGGTAATAACAGTAGTAGTAATAAATAATAAATAGTAATAATACTAATAAATAAATAGTAAACGATAATAGAAATAATATTAAGAATTAATAATTATAATAACAACTATACTAATAAAACATTTGATATTAATTAGTATTAATTATAACAACAACAGCAACAACAACAATAATAATAATAATACTAATACTAATAATAATAATAATAATAATAATAATAATAATAATAATAATAATAATAATAATAATAATAAAAATAATAATAGCTTTTGTATTTGGGCAACTTCAAAGCGAGTACGCCGTCCAGTCGCTAATGAATGTGTTACGCGACGACACCGAGCATCCTATGGTGTGCCATCGTCGCCATTTTGTTTAATGAGCACTATTTATTTCTTACTGGCATCCGTTTTGAAATCGGGTCTATTTATAAGCCGCAAGCCTTTATTATTATTATTGGCCCCTTTTTGTTTCGAGGGCTTTATTTGTCTTTTCATTGCGACATTTAATAAAATGGATCCGCTTTAAATCACATGCTTTTATTATTATTGTTATATATACTTGTTTTTTTACTTTTCTTCATTATTATTATTATTATTATTAAAAATGAGGTGCGACACGAGGCTGCTGAAGCGCTTGGCGCTATTGCTTCCCGTAAAGAGATATATACTTTACTAAAGGAATTTTCTGCATCGCACCATCCACGCATTATTAGAGAAAGTTGCCACGTGGCTTTGGGTGAGAACATTTTTTTTTTACTTTTTTATTATTATTTAATTTAATGAAATTGTAAAACTAAATTTATTAATCTTTATTTAATTTCTTTATTGAATTTTTCTAGTCAAAACTGATATTATTAATAAAAATTTGAAGTTTTTTTTATGTATTTTATAATTTTTTATATTCTTATTGAATTTTAAGACTATATTTTTAATTAATTCCTAATTGTGGTTTTTTTGTTTGAATTTAATATTTATTTTATATTTTCTTTTTAGTAGTAATTATATCCAGAAGATTTTTTTTATTAGATTTTTTTCTTATTACTTTTCGGGTGTAATATTTTTTTTACTGAATACTATCGTAAATAAAAAAATTTACTTTTTAATATTTTGAAATATTAATTCATTATCCATAAATTTATATTATTTTTTTTATTGTTCTATAATACTTATTTATTGTTATTATATTAATAAAAAGCTTTTTAAATTTATATTAAAATTTTATATCGTTAAAACTTTATTTCTATTATATTTTATTAATATTTATATGGATTAGAATTTATATTGTAGTGAAAAATTTTTTAATACTTTTTTTTATATTTCAATATTAAAATATATTTTTAAGCTTTTTTAAAAATTTATATTAATTTTCTATAATTTTTTATTTTTGATACAAATTTTTATATTTATTAACTTTTATTAATGAATACTGAAATGTAGAATAATTTACATTTTATTATTTTCTGGTGAGTAATTAATTAGAATAAAGTTTTATTTTTTATATTAATTTTTAACAACAGCATCATTAATATTTTTTATATATTATTGTTTATTGAAATTAAGAATATTTTATTATTTTTCATATTTTTTTGTATATTTATTATAAAATGTATTTATTTAAAGTTTATATTGTTTATTGAAATTTAGAATAATTTGTATTATTATTTATTTTTATTTTTTTAAATTTAATCATTTTCATACATTGTAATTTTTTTATTATGAAAAATATATTTTTTAGTATATTTTTTACTAATTTGATTGAAATTTGGAATAGTCATATCATATCACTTTGTGGGTGAAGTACTTTTTAATACATTTTATATATTTTATTATAAAGTAGTTTTGCGTTTATCAATTTATTTCTAGTAAATATTTTTAATTTTATTATCAGAAATCTTTGACTTTCTATTTTTTTAAAATTGAAAATATTTAGTCTTTAGTCTTTATATTTTTCTGGTGTTAATTTTTTTAAGCTTTTTATTATAAGAAATTTTGCTTTATTATAAAAATTTTTTTTTTTCTGTTATGCAAATTGATTTAAAGAGAAGTTATAAAATAATTTGAATATAATTTTAACAATTTTTAATACTGCAATTTACTTTTCTTAGTAAACTTTAATATATCCCCTAAACCACGTGGTACATAGCCCTTTGTTATTTACCACATGTCCGTATCACAACCCGCGTGCCATTGCACATGCTTTTATGTACCACCTTTTTTTTGGTATTTCTTCCCTGAACGGGAAAATAACTGGATCACCTTTTTTTTTCGTTATATTTAATAATATATACATTTTATTTTTTTAATAACAATTTGATAGTAAACTATTTTTATTAAAATATTTGTTTTGATGGTTTATATTATAAATATTGTTTTATTATTTTTATTATATTTTAGTTTATATTTTTATTAAAACATTTGATTTTTTATTTTATAATTTATAATTTATTTTTAATTAAAGTTTTTAAATTTTCTCTTTATTAATTATATTATTTATTAGTTTCTTATAAACTTTTGAGTTTTTTTTTTAAATTTATGATAAAATTTATTATAAAAATTTTAATATTTTTGATTTTTTTTACTGTTTATATATAATTTAATATTTTTTAATATAAGTGTTACACTCTTATATTTTTTTATTATATTATCATATATATATATTAATTTTATATAAAATTTTTATATTTTTTTTGTTTATTTTTTTATTATCTTTACTTTTTATATGTAAAATAATATTTTTGAATTTGTTAAGTTTATATTTTATTTATATTTTATTTATTATGTTATTATATTTGTATTAATTTTGTATAAACTTTTGGGCTTTTTATGTTTATACCAAAATTTATAATAAAAATTTAATATTTTTAGTTTTATATTTTTACAGTTTTTGTTTATTTATATTAAAAAATATAATACTTATTATTATTTAAAGTATTTAATTTTTTTCTTATTTATCATTAATAAATTTTTTAAAGTTTTTTATTTTTTATAATATTTTTTTATATTTTCTATAAGTTTATTTATTTATTTTTATATTTATTATTTTTTTTATTTCTTATTATTATAGTTTTACTTTTTTATTAACTTTTTTTATCCTTCACGAGTAGATATGTATGAATATGGGAAGTCTGAAGAGTTTGAATATACTTTGAACCACTTTTCTTAACTTTTTACGTTGTTTTTATGTATAAAAAATACTATGAATATTTTATTTATCATAAAAACTTTTGAGTTTTACTTTTTATTCGGTAATAAAAGTTTTTTTTACATTTTTCCTGAAGTTTTAAATATTTTTGGTGAAGAAATTTTAATTTTTATTTAATATTTTTTCTTTTAATGAACTTTTCAGTATTATTCGTGAAAATTTTGTTGACAGTTTTTGTTGAGAACAAGATCCCAGTTCATAAGTTTTAACGGAAATTACCATTTTAGGCAATTTTATGATTATTATTATTGATTATTTCATTGCTTAGTGGTTAGTATATAGTGAAGGTTCACAAAAAATAAACCGGCAGTCGTGTTAATTTTTTAGTGCTTTTTTTGTTTAGTCACGTCTGTACATCTCTCTCTCTCTCTATATATATATATATACATTTGTTTACAATTAATTCTAAAGGGCATAAAGGTTTAGATACTCGTCAGTAAAGGTGTAAATAACCCCACAGTTTTTCCTTCGTCCCTTTGGACTCTACAATACTTTAGTAAAAAAATTATTAAAAGTTTTCTTTTAATAATTTTTATTTTTTTCGGGTTTATAATATTATTTTCTTGTTTTGCTTTATATTAAATTTCATATAAAAATTTGTTAAGTTTTTTTTTAATTCTTTTATACAATTATAGTTTTTCTTTTGAGTTTTATTATTTTTTGGTGACAAAAATGATGAACGTTTTTTTTATTTAATTTTTGTTATTTTAATTAAATTTCTTTTAAACTTTTTAATGTTTTGAAATTTTATTTTATTTTTGTATAAAGTTTTTTTTTTCTTTCATAATATTTTATTTAAAAAAGTTTTTGAAAATTTTTTTTATTACCTCTAATTTTCATAGAAGATTTGAAAATAAATTTATAAAAAATAAATTTGTTATAAATAATTTTGAATGGTAAATCAAAAAAGTCTGAATTTATTTTTCTGTAATTTTTTTTTTCATACTTTTTTAAAAAAAATTATAATTCTTATTTTTTTAATCATTAGATTTCACATATACTTTTTTTACTTTTACTAGTTAAATTTAATTTTAAGATTCACATTGAATTTATATAAGCACTCAATGATTAATTTTTTTTCTTACAAGAAAATTAAGATGAACAATAACATTCTTGTATATATTCTGCAACAAATGTACTTCTTATTTTATATTTTAAGAGGAACAATAAAAATGTTTTAAGCATTCAGTACTAAAATCTGTAATAAGTTTTGTTTCTCATAACTTAATTTGAGATGATCAACAAAACTTTTTTAGCATTCAGAAAGAAATTATAAAAGAAACATTTATCGCATTCCCTTTAGAGGATAAATCTGTAGAAAATTTCATTCTCATCTTTTATTTTGAGAAGAAAAACGAAATTCTTATAAGCAAGGTATTTATATTTTATAAAAAGAGAGAAACTGAAAATATTTCTGGTTAGTAATAAAATATACAGAAAAAATTATTATTTACAGTCAAAATTGAGAACGGTTGATTTTGTTTAAATCGTTAATTAGATTATTCTATAAAAAATTAAATTTTAAAATTTAAGTTGAGATACACACTAAAAAAATTTTAAGCCTTCAGTAATAAAATTTATTTCTTACTTTTAAAATTGAGATGAACTTTAGCAATATTGTAAACATCCCGTATTAATTAGATTCTTATAACAAAGGAGACTTTGAAGATCCGTTAATCATTTATTATTAATATCCTTGAAAACTTTTTCTACAAAAAATTTTTTTTAGAGAGAGTTGAGGGATAATATAAAGGTACATTAATCATTTACTAAAAGTTGTCTTTTTTCTGAAAATTTGCGTACTAATTTTTTAAAAACTTAAAAAAAATTACATCTCACGCCTTACATAGAAGTAAAAACTTTGAATGCTTTCAACAATGTATAAATTTGGATCTAAATTGAGGTAGAAAAATAGGTTGCTTCAAGCAATCAGTATTAGTATGAGTGAAGATGAGTTGTAAAATAAAACTAAATCATAAGCTTATGTTTGACGGTTTACTTTAATGAAGTACTTAAAGATTTACTACGCAATAAGTACAGTTAAATTTCGTAGAAAATCAAGTAATCACTAAGTTTAGTAAAATTATTTTTTTTATAATTTACTTATATGATATTTTAAGGCGAGGTAGAAATATTTTAGATGCGTTAGCTATCCGTTCTGATTAGTTTAAAGAAAGTAGAGACATTGTAAATTTTTTATAGCAATTTATATTTAATATATTTGAGGTGAACAATAAGGGCACGAACTGCATCTCGTATTTTAAAAGTATTAAAATTTATTTATCAACTTTTTACTTAGTATTAAACTTTCAAGCGGCACGAGAATTTAGTAAAAATTAGGATCTAAAGATAATTTTTTTTTAACATTTCACTTTCAGGAAGATGTCTTAGGTATCCAGTATTAATAAAAGTGAAGAGAGCAATAAGAGTGAAACAAAAAGATTCTCAGGCGAAAAATACCTTTCTGATATTGTAAATTAGAAAGGGGGGGGGGCGCTACCCATATTGTATATTTTTGGATCTATAAAAAGTTATTATTGACACTATGGTAAAAATTTAGGATGCTTTAATTATTAAATGTAAAGTAGCGTCTAAAATTTTTAAAATGTAGTTGGAATGGTACTTTGGAGAGTCTTAAGAGAAAGAGGTTTTTTTAAAAATTATAATTTAGGTAGGCGCTGATCTTAACTGAGCGTTAACATTTCCGGGCGTTATTTTAAAGGAGACATCAAGGTTGCTCTAGGCTTTCAGTATTAAATCGACTTTACTTTAGATAAAATTTTTTTTGAAAGCTTCATAACTCTTTAGGTGGACTGTGAATATACACTACACATTTAATGAAACTTAAAAACTTAAGAAAAGCAACTTTAATTGTAAGGTAATTGTTAAGGTTACATATAGCTTTTAGTAAGAATTAGTACCTGAAGTTGAAGGCTATAATAATAAACAGTTAAGATATTAAGAAGGAAAACATTTTTCCGGCATAAAATGTTACTAGGAAGAAGTTATGGTCAAAATTAGATCGAAATGTGTAAAAAGATAAACTATAAAATTGAACTTTAATTAGGGTAGGAACCTAAAGGTTGAAATTACAAATATGTTAAGATTTTATTACAATTAACTTTGTCTTATATAGGTATATGCTTCTTATTCAAACTGAAAGTTTTCAAAGTGATTTTAAAATAAGGATCTTAATTTAAAACTGATTTCCGACTTCTTTACGGGATAGACATTTAAAAAATTTTGAGCGATTAGTTTGTAAAAATAGATCGAAGTGGGATAATTTATTCTCGACAATATTATCTTTTGAGAGAGATATTAAGAATACGCTACGCAAATAGTAAAAATTTATCTTTTTTAAAAAAATCAACATTTTACTTTTCCTTATAGATACATAAGCTATTTTTATAAGTTACTATCTGAATCTATGTCTTAAAAGTGAAATGAAAATGGGACAGTCGAAGGTTCCGACGTTTTGCTTTAAGGCAAACTTTTAAGAAGTTCTTAGCTTTAGTTTAAAATAGATTGGAGTGTGTAATTAAAATGAATGTAAGATTCTTATTGGAATAATTGACCAGCTATTAAATTTCGTAGCAAGCAATACACTTTGCATTTAGTATTAATTGAATCTTTAAGAAAAATTCATTTTCAACGTCTTAGTTTGTGGTAGACTTAAAGTGACATTAATTCAGTATTTTCTTAATATTTGCAAGTTTCGATTATAATAGGAATGATACATTAAAGTTATTAAAAAGACCCTTCAAAACTTACTTTCGACTTTTGGCCTTTGAGATAAATATGGGACACGAAAGTTAAATAAAATTTATAAAAATCTAACAAAAAATTATTTTTCGACCCTTTACTTCTTTGTACTCGTTAACTTTTATGCACTCTACTTAACTTGTTATTCGTATAAACCAAATTTATATATAAAAAAAAAAACAAAAATAAACTCAAAGCATAGTTCCTATAGAAGAAAAGGGAAAAATGATTAGCAATAATGTTTTTCTTTAACTTAAGAGAATTTTTTTTACAAAATTAAAGGTATGTGTACGTGCCTATTAATAAAGATGACTTTTAGTCTAAAATTTTGTTCATCATTTTTTTTAACAAAAAGTCTTCTGAGTGCCAACCTTTCTTTCAAATTAACTTATAATAAGAATGGTTGTATATTAAAAGTTATTTAACATAAGTAGGGCACTGTTAAATATATTATAAACTTGAGTGAATTAAAGTGCCTTATAAGAAAAACATCATTAAGTAATAATACAAAATATCGACAATTTTTTTTTTATTGCCCGTGGAAAAATCTCATGTTAACATTTTTTTTTCTTTAAGATTTATATGCGTACTTTTTGCCTAAGTATTTATTTTAGTTGCGAAAGAAATGTCTTTAACTACATTGTCCTCTACTGTCAAGGAAAAATCCAGAAGAGCTTTATTTATAAAATTGCAATTTTAGAAGTAGACGATAAGAAAAATAGAAAGGTGAGATAAGTTTGTCTCTTCCAAAGAGAATGATTAAATTAAACTAGTTATCTGTAAAGGATATAAAAAGTTAGCTTTCCTTAAATTTTTCTAGGTCAATAAATATTACCTCTTTACATGGTTTTTCTATAGACAATATAAACAACTTTAAATTAAATTAAACAAAAATTATGGACTAACTTTTTTTTAATATTTATGCGAAAACTAATAGAACTCTTAGTAAAGAGAACTGAAATTAAAACATTTTTATTATTTGACCGCGTACTATATCCTATAGAGACTTTTTACTTAAAGTTGACAGACATGTTAAAGCTTATTATAATATTTTTTATTATTTTTTCGTTTAAACATTTTTCTCTTCATTTCTCAATATTTATCTACGTTTTATCTATTTATAAAAGTGAGCCCTCTCCTGAAGAAGAGCTGCGAACCTTGATAGCTAACTAATTAACCGCAACGAAGAACTCCGAAGG